AATAGAGATGTTTGCAAGTATCAATGTATTTTTCGCTTTATTAATAAAGTAAATAAAATAGTTTATATAAAAATAGTGCAATGCTTAAAATATATGACTACCACTATTTTATTTATCTAAATATAATTTTAAAAAAATCCAAAGCTTTGCTGCAGACTTTACTTACAACTTTATGTTACTTAACCTTTTATAAGAACTAGCTGTAATGCTGGTTGAGAGAAATAAAAATATATTTTTTTTTGATGGTAAACAAATTAATCGACACGTACTCATGTTTTGTGATTTAATTTACAATAATTAAGCCGCCGCCGCTAAATGTCATAAATTGTAAAAGACCTGTGAATCGCATAGAGAAGCAATTAACCATAAATGAACCGATAGGACTTTTAAGTTTCGCTAAATAATTTCCTTCTAGCAATGAAACGAAACAAAATATCCAATGACAACTTGTCGGTTTCTGTAATACAACTTTCCTTTATTATTACTAGCTGACAACACACGATTATTTAAAGTTGAACATTACCTATGGAACTATCTAGTTGCTGATATATCGTTCGAGAATGCCATTTTATGATACCTCAATTACATTCCTCATTTCTCAGCTTTCTATTTCAATCAATTTTGCAACTACGACTTCCATATTTTTTTTTAATTGATTCATTAACATTTTCAACTAGTTATTGAAAAAGTGTTAAATTTTTATAATGTGGTGTATGTCACAAATTGAAACTTTTATTAAAAATTCGAAAGTAATATAAAATATTTAAAAAAAATATTTGACAAAGAGTAAAATAGATATTATTTAATGAGACAAAAAGTTTCGTGCATTTTTGATAATTTTTTTCTAATATTTTGGTAAATATTTTTTCCTTATATCTAATGGCAGATGATCTCCTCTGCCTTTAGATATAAAGAAAATGACACATGATTAAAATAACCCAACTCAAGAGAACAAGGTTATAAAAATTAAAAAGAGCCATTTCCTCATTCGACTCCTTGCTTCCCAGTATCGGTCAGCGATAGCTACACGGAGAGCACAGCAAAGGAGAACGTGATCGCCATCCATTACAGATTGGATTCGACGTATAGAGAAATATGGATCAGAAGTTCAAAGTCGTAAAAACGTTTTCCAAAACTTCGCAAAGCATTAAGAAAATTCTACAAGTAAGGAAAATAACTTATTCTACCAGTAAGGAGAGGGCCAAATTTTGTCTACTTTCCTTCGAATGAACCGCCATTCCTTAAACCAATCAATGATCAGTTCTTTTCGAAGGGACTACAGGATTGCTTTTTTTTCACTTCGCATAATTAGCTAAATAGACGCCTATATTGTAGGTGGCAGCACAATAACTCAGTTAGCTTCGATTTGAAGTTCAAATTTCGTGATGTCTTTGTACAATTTTTCCCTGTCCAATTTAAAAATAATTCTGTTCTTTTTTGTTTTAAATGAAAGATAAGAATTTAACTTTAATTTTCTCTAATTAAAAACTCGATGAGAGGAAAACTACTGTGGATAAAAACTGTTGGAAGTTAGAATGAGTTTCTTGAATTTAAAAAATAGTAAAAAAAAAATTAATTTAATTCCTAGCACATTAATAAAGATATTTTTTTTCTTCTTTCGTTTCCAAAAAACAGAACGTTATTATCTTAAAAATTGACGATTTTATGTAGGACTGAACTCTCCATAGAATAACATGGAGTTGCTTTTCTCCCGATCGAGTGAGCGAACGGCCTTAAATCTGTATAAGTTAGCAGCAAGCAATTTGGTAATGGACGAAATTAAGTTTATTTTGATTGTCATTTCACGACCATTTCGGAGGGGAGCAAGAGCATGTTGAGTTGTCGTTTAGGCTTATGTTAAGCCTAAAGTTAGGCTTAAAGTTTTGGAATGGAAACTCGTGGAAGAAAAGGGTAGAGTTTAAATCTTTAACCCTTTCTACTCGGGTTACTTTAAAATGCTGTTTGAACTAATATAAGTAAGTCATTTTAAATATATAATACTGTAATTTTGTATAATTTTTGAAATTCATATAAACAACTTAGTGACTAATTATGATTATACAAAAGAATTTATTTTTACAGTGGTTACTTTAGATGTCGCATTAGAGGCGACTTCGGGGTGTAAAGCATTAAATCATGTGAAAATATTTTCCTTTTGCTACATAGAAAGGTAGAAAATTGTCATAAGTGGAAATTGACTATAGAAGTTTAGATTTGAACTTGAATTCTGATATTATTAACCCATAAACCGGTTCGAAGCGACCAGCCATCGCGGGATTGGAAACCGGTTCACCACATTGGAAGGCGAACGCTCTATCCCCTGAAGCACCATACCGTTAGCTACTTATTAGGTTTTTTTTTTTTAAATCTCCAATCCATGATGATAGATTTAAATTTAAAACTTTGTGTTTCTAAAATATCACAGTAATGAGGCAAGCTTTGTATAAACAAAAAATAATAAAATAAATGAATAAGTAAATAAATAAAATAATAATTGAGTTACCTGTTTTTATGTTTTCAGGTAAAGAAAAACTTGGCAAGTTCACTTGCCTAGCGGTTGTAAAGGGTTAATGTGTTTCATAATATTCCATCGTAAACTTGTTACCACTTTGTTTTATTTTCAGCAATGCCAGGTACTACTCTTTCAGCAAAATCTTTCATAGAGTGGTAAACAATTAAAAACTAAAGCTTTCAGAATTTTTGGCAATTTTTACAATACTTTAAAAAGCCCCAACTTGAGATAGCTGCTACAAAGTGGAGTGTCGTGTAAACTTATGAATCATTTACATGCAGTGGAGTGGAAAATGACTTTAAATAAAGTTTACAAAACAAAGAATAATGCATTATAACATACACTTAGAAGAAATTTGCGCATGCACTAGAAGAAATTTTTCTGGAAAGCGCAGAAATTTGGCAGCCCCGTACATTAAGGTGCAACTTGCACTTCTAATACAATAACTCGAATGTTTATGAGTGACCAGATAATCGTGTAGCATCATTTTGAAATATTGAGGAAATTAAAAATTCCCATCTGGCATTAATTCTATAGTTAAGGAAAAAAAGGCGGGCTTCTTAATCTGTAACCCTTGACATTCTGTGGCAAAATTTGAGGAAAAATAATAATATTTGTAAAATATAACTTCTTGGAACGATTTTTTCTCTCTTTCTGTTGCATGATATTATCGGTCGTACCGAACGGTCTTCTGTTTGACAGGACCATCAGAGAAAAAATTCACCTCAAACCCGAGGACTTTCTTTTCAGAAACGAAACTCCCGCTATTAAAGTTGTTCCAGATAATACGACACTCTGTCTAGAACTCATCGAACCCTGCTCGAAAAAAGGTTCTACGAATAAACTCAAGGTGTTTGGGATGAAAACTATCGATTCTCTGTCTGGCCTCAATCATATCAGGGCTTTTACTGATGGATCTTCTGACTCCACTTTCACCAACGGAGGTGCGGGAGTGGTACTGCTCCTACCTGATGATCAAAAACGAGGGATCGCAACTGGTGCTGGAAAAATCGCATCTAATTTTACGGGAGAATTGACCCAACGTGATCGGATGTGCACAAAACCAAACGTTTAGGCAGTGCATTAACTTTCCTTGAGCGGTACCACAACGACGGTGATGATTTCTTAAGCCAAATTGTTACGGGCGATGAAACATGGGCGGCCTAAGTCACACCAGAATCAAAGCAGCAGTCCATGGAATGGCAGCATTCAGATTCACCCAGAAAAGTAAAGTTTAAGCAAACAATTTCTGCTCGGAAAGTCATGTACACAGTTTTTTGGGATAGAAAAAGAGTATTGCTTGTGGAATTTCTGCCTCGTAATGAGACTATCAATGCAGCAGCTTATTGCGAGGCATTGAACAATCTGCGCCGTTCAATCCAGAACAAAAGACGTGGCAAGTTGAGAAAGGGCATCGTTTTGCTGCATGACAATGCCCGTCCGCATGCGACTAATCAGACCAAAGATCTCATCACATCTTTTCAATGAGAAACTCTAGATCATCCTCCATACAGCCCTGATCTTGAGCCCAGTGACTACCATCTGTTCCTGCACTTGAAGAAACACCTGTGTGATGGTCAGCGTCTTCAAGACGATGACGAAGTCAAAACAGTTGTGATGCAGTGGTTAAGAACTTCGGCGGCAGACTTCTATGAGGAGGGTATTCAAAAACTGGCACAACGTAATGACAAGTGCCTCAATGTTGAAGGAAATTATGTAGAAAAGTAGACTAAGGTACAGGCTTAAGAAAATTAAGAAAAACAATAAGTTTTATTTATTGCGCATAAGCAAGTAAATAGAACTCATAAAATAAGTTCAAAATGTAGGGAGAACAAGGGAAAAATTACAGAACAATGAAAAAAGGGGGAAAATGAAAAATAGTAATAAAAATAACAAAAAACCGGAAAAAAAAGAACAAAGAATTTTGAAAAATCCGGAAAATAAAAGATATAATCTTTTTATCAGCTCACACGATTATATCAGCAAAATTACGGATTTTTCAAAATTTTTTGTTCTTTTTCCCCCCTGGTTTTTTGTTATTTTTATTTTTATTATTATTTTTCATTTTCTCCCTTTTATCATTGTTCTGTAATTTTTCCCTTGTTTTCTCTACATTTTGAACTATATATATACAGAAATTTTTATAAAGTATAATATTAAATTATTGTGAGTTTAAAATAATGTTAGCATATTTATTTTAGCTTTTATTTTGAAGAAACAATAAATGTTTTGTTAACCATAATGTATTAACCATGAAAATAAATTTGAATCCAAAAACAAAATAATAGTCAAATAGAAATCAACATATTTTCTTTCTTTGGGATATATTTTTTCCCACAATGCTATCGCAATTTGAAAAATAAAAATAAATTAATTCTACGAAAATAAAGCGACTGCCTCATTATGTGTATGAGACTTCTTATCAAAACCTTCATCACAAATACTTCCTCTTTCATAAAGTTTTGAAAACTATGCGGGCATAACTTACTCTGTTAGCGTCACGTTTTCTTTTTCTCCATTCTTCCCAACGAACGTCAAGATCATCGATCCATAGGACTTCTTGACGGTTGCAGGGAATTTCACTGTCAGTTTGGCAAGACCAGCTGCGAAAGTTAAAACGATAATTTAAGCATGTATTATGCTTGCGATGAATAGAATTACTTTTAAGAATACTATAGAATGAGTTACAAATGTGATTTTTTTTAAACAATGAAATTGAAACAATCGTCTTCTGCATATCAAATTAATATGAAAAGCGTACTAGAATTCTTTTTTAAGTTATACTTGATAATAATAATACTCAACTACTGAAATGTTTTGCGAAGTATAATATTTTAGCTTCGCAATTATTTATAAAGTAATGATGTGAAAAGTACTATGTTAATGTTAAAGGACGACCGCAAACTAATTTCGAAATCAATTCAATTTAAATAATATCCTCCTAGCATTCACAGGACTGCCAACAACATATTTTGCAAAATGTTTTATGAAGTGGTAAAGAATTAAAAGCGTGGTAGTTTTATCAACAATTAAAAAAAATAATTTTAAATCAATATAACGAAACATAAAATCATACATTAAATTATAATCTTAGTCACCACTTGAGGAAATTTTCCCAAAAAGCGTAGTATGTTAGATTCTCTAGTAACAGGGATACTACCGGCTACAAAAAAATTTAAAAAGTAGTAGAGAAACTCAATTCACTCTTTTTTATTTATTATTTCTTTAATTAATCAATCTTGTTGCTGTTGTTTCTAATCCCCAAGAGGTCCATCCCAATTAGACCAAATCCATAAGTCTAAAAATGTCCAGAAAGTCTAAAAACAGATGAGGTTTTGAAAAAATCTCGTCGATCTTAAAATCGAAACAGTTTAGAATATGCTCTGGAGAAGCCTGAGCAGTCCTACATTTAGTGCTAAGTCCATAAGTCTTTCGCCCCTGAACATACAACAGACACCTCAAGTGACCACTTGCAAAGTGAGAGAAACAAGTCTGCTGGCTTCTAGGTCCATCAAAAAGCAAGGCACCTCCAGGACGTTTTCTGAAATACCAACTGCGAGGAAGAGAAACCCTCCAGAGCTCCATAAAAAAAATTTGCACTCTGCAAAGATCTTATTGAAAGTGGAAGGTATATCTGGCTGTAAAGGTTCCAAAGAAGCATCTTTAGCCAGTGAGTCCGCCATCTCGTTACCTTTGATTCCAACGTGTGATGGAATCCACTGGAAGTGTACCCCAAAGTCCGCTGAGAGCCTGAGGAGCACCCCCAAAATTGAAGCCGCAGCCCTGTCTCCAACATTCATCCTGTTGCAAAGGTGTTGGATTGAAGATTTGCTATCCGTCAGTAATTAATCAATCTTAACGCAGCAAAACTCACGTTATTCCTCCTTTAAACTTTTTGAATTATAATTGAGCACAACAAACATATCAGAACATAATAGTTTTTACGGTAGCGAATTTCAGTCTGATTAAAATACAAATTTGTTTTTGTAATAAGATTTTTTTTCGGTAATTGGTCTACTACCACTTGGAAAATATATTCTCAGGTTGAGTGAAAGTTGGCAGGTATGAATTTGATTTCAATAGTTAACTAAAAAAAAAATTGCCATGAAAGTTTGCAAATTTTAATCTCTTCTATTAAAATTGTGAATTTTATAAAACCCTGCTGATAAGAAATTCTTACACTCTTTAAGAAGAGGATGTTTTTCGACATTTACTCCCAATATTTTAAGTAACTTTGTGATTACGATTATCAAGAAATAAAATGGTTCATTTATGTATTTTTAAACTTTACGAAAGTTTATAATGGAGTTGCAACAGTGTGGCCACAGGCTGAAAAAAAAAGCTGTGACAAAACTTTTAAGAAGAGATTAAAAAGACTTCATTTTAACATTAATTTCACTAGATATATAAATATTTAGATTTAATAAATTTTATTTTTGAAATTGAATTGAGAGATGAAATGAAAAACTATCCAAAATATTAAACAAAAATTTTATTTATATCTATTTCCAATATATTCTACGGCTTTTAACTGTTTTACAAATAAGACATTCATATTAATATATCTTACCACAATATGGAGTAGTTGCTTTCGTCATCAAATAGTATATACCAGAGCCGTGTGACTTGTAACCCATTCGACCACAAGAGTCTGAACAGCTCATGCATTTGCCAAGCACAAAATCTTCGTAATTTTGACACCTAAAAGCCGTGTATTCGCAGGGAGTAGGATTCAGAACAGATTCTGTAAACAGATGCACAGCACGTTCATGATTGCAAGCTCGTTCTCTCATACCCTCTAAAATATAAAATTTAAAAAAAATTAGTTGTGTCAATCAGTGAAACAATTAGTCAGTTATAAAAACGAAAGTCATAGCACCAAAATTTAGAAATATTATCAAGTAATGACCGTCATACTTTGCTCGTTGTATCTAAAGAAACTAGAAATTTACTCTTAAAATGTATAAAGTTTTACTTTACTAATTCATAAAAATTTATGTTAATGAATCAACCCATTAGAATAAATTTTAGCATCTTGCTTTAAATAAAAGTTATTGAGCAAAGCCACCAACATTTTTTTAAGAACGTTTTTCGGAGTGAGAACAAAACAACAATTGGATTGATAACTATTAACCAATTTTTTATCACTAGGAACGGTAATGATGATTATCAGATATTTTTATTTATATTTCAACTATTTTAACACGTTGAATGCCATGGGGGTAACTGGCGACCGGCACCGAGTTTGTTCGTAGCGCCACAGGAGTCACCGGTGACCGGCGAAGCCAAGATTATTAGAAACACATAATTCGAGTAAATTTTTAATTTTTTAAATATTATTATTATTACTAAAATGGTTTGAGAAAATTAATGCAATATAGAACACGCAAAAATAGTTTTATTTATGTACACAGACCAACTTGCCAACTTGCTCCGAACAGCGAATAAATATTTTCAAGTAGTAGTTTATTAATTGTGATTCTTGGTTTAATAAATTCAATTTAGTAGATGTTTATCCACCCTTATTACTAAACAATTCGTAGGCTTATAAAATTCACCTCTTTTTTCTGATATGTTATGCTAAACCTCTTTAAAATTAGAAAAATCTATCTGATATTTGAAAATTTAATTAGTAGTCATTTACCGTGTGGCCAGATGAGCAAGCCACGTAAAATTAGCATGGCATTCAGCGTGTTAACTTACACTGAAGACTTCTTTATATGGATATACTGTCTGTTTCACAATTATTTGAAAGTGCAACGCTGAATCGGTTAAAGAAAAAAAAACTACTATACAAAAAACCTTATTCGCAGAATACTTACTAAACATATCGAAAATAACTCCTTTTAAAGTACTTGGGCATCCAGGTTGCCTCTTACCACCATTTGGATAGTAATCAACGTGTCCTATGGGTTTCTCTATACCGACGCCACCGTACCATATAGCGTCAGCGTTTGTATGTACAACGTCCACAAATTCAGCATCGTCCTTTGATAAGTGGACACTTTCATCTTCATCTTCGAATAGAGGACTGGCTGGATCTAAGCCTGAAATGTTAAAAGAATCCTGCTAAATGTTTATATTACAAACCAAGGTTTATGACGCGTGGTGCACTCTTCGTTAGTAAAGTGAGAAAAAAAGCTATAAGAAGCTGCTAATATTAAACACTTTTAATGAAATTTAGAATTTCATTAGTCACAACTTTTTGCATTTTTAGTCGCGTCTGATCTGATCTTGCTTTATGAGCTCGGCCATGACCTCCTACATCAGAAAGCCTCCACACTGTTTCTTAGAAATAGTCTGCGCAGATTATTTAAAAAGCCAACCATTTGTGCGTAGGAATCCAAATTCCATACCAGCCAACTTTTACGCATTTGGCGTAAAATTTTATTTCTATATTTAAAGTGATAGTAAAATTTATGTTTTCTATATATTCCTTGCATTCATTAACTTAATATATAGTATTTCTGATCCGCCACTATTTTTAAAAAAAATTAAGCATATATATTAATATGTAATACTGATGAAAAATTCGCACACGCTTGCTCAAATTACAGTGAATGTTTCTGCCTAAAATTGTAATTTAAATTTTATTTTACCACCACTGGGGAAAATCATCCCTGAAAGGATTAAATGTTGGCAGGTATGAAATTCTATTTTAAAAGTACTTGAGAGAAATTTATCATATACATTTGAGAATTGAATCTGTAGTGGTTGACAAGTAAATCAATTATATTCATAAATTAAACAAATTTCTAGACATATATATTGCTACCACTTTCTAATTTTTAATAGATATCATATTAAATGGTTCTTTCACTAATTGGGTTACCTCTTTCAAATTACGTTTATATTTATATGTGTCAATTTAGATTTGATATTCAAATGTTATATCTACTATATTTAACTATGTCAACCTAGGTATATATATTTCAAATTATGTTTTTATTTATATGTGTAAATTTAGTTTCGATATTCAAATGTTTATTTACCCAAGCAAAGTGCTTGTAATTTTGTATTAGCAACCACATCGACTGCTAAATTCAAAATGTTATCACTTTAAACTTATGTAAATTTCTAGATGTATGGGATAGGGGCCGCTGCGCGGCCCAGGTGCCCAGTTCTTTTTAAATAAAGTAAAGTAAGTAATTGGGTTACCTTCATAATGATATGATTGAACTACCTACAAAAAAGCGTGTGGAGGCTTTCAGTTATTTGAGGCGTTGGCTCGGCGCCTGGGCCTTGCAGCGACCCCTATCCCATCCATCCTGTATTATTTATCGTTGTATAAGTTCTTGGAGATCAGCATGCTATGTGATAGCTGTCAAGGGGATTCAAGCACTTTGCTTTAATAAATAATAATAATGAAAATAAGACGAAGCGGCTTGCTTTAAGCCAGACCTGCCAACTTTTAATCCCTTCCATTATCATTTTTCCCAGTGCTATTAAAACGGAATTAAACTTCAATTTTAAGCAAACAAATGCGTTGTATTTGAAAAAAATTAAGTTGACAACCATGATATACCGATATAAAATTATTGTTTTGATGTTCCTAGCCCGAAGGGCTATCTACACCTCCATCGAAGTTAATGGGAGATTTAGGGAGGAGTGGGGGTCAGAGAGGCAACGCAAGCGAAGTTGTTTGAGAAAATTGACAACCATGATAGTAACTCATATTAATATATAAGCTTAATTTTTGTAAGAATAGTGGTGATCAAAATCATTTAAAAATTAAATTTATAAAAGAAAAAAAAATAGTATATATTTACTACCACTTTAAATATGAAAATAAAATCTCCCTCAAAATGCGGGAGAGTTGGCAGGTATGTTTAAACTACGTGTAATTTTGGATGCAGTTTGATCGTCAACGTGGGGAAATCCTTAATGGAGCTTTCGATATTGTTGTTGTTGTTGAATCTGATACTATAGGTCGATATGTGGTTAACAAATTTGCTGAGGCTTTTATTTATTTTGATTATTGTGTTATGAGGCGCCTTCCTTTTGAATCTGGGTGCCTGGGCCGCAAAGCAGCCCCTGTCCCATTCATCGTGTAGTATTTGTTATTTTGTTTGATTTCGTTGAGGTTAGCAGGCAATGTGGTTGTTGATTTTAACAGTGTGAGGTAACCCGGTTTGTAGATATGATTTTGGTAAAGGAAGAAAACAGTAGAAATCTCTTGATAGGTTAACACAGTATGAATTGACAAGAATCTTAAACCGTTTTATCCCGCAATTATATATTGAAATCATACAAAAAGTGGTTTTATGGTCTTTCCACTGTGTTCAAAAAGTCTTTGATAGATCAAAAAGTACATGATCCTTATAATTCTAGATCTAATCAGAAGTAACTAAATCATTGTGGTATCTGAGAATCTTTTAATTCACCCAGATAAATGAAAATGCTGAAAAAAGTTTCCCACCACAATGAATGTCTTTGAAAAAAGGAACTGTCCTAAATATATGACGCTGGGCGTTAACCGGTTAAGCAAACATATCTCTTAAATGTTTTGTTAACTACCATTTCCTTTTTAAAACTAATTCCAACTTTATAATTTCTGATTCTATCGTATAATTCTGATTCTATCGAATAATTATGACAAATGACAGATATTATTCAATACATCCTACATCCTCATACCCTCTTATTTTAGTTAATACTTATCATTTTAATTAAATTCATATCTGACTGTAATTTACAGAAACTGCACAGCCAACACTCTGATCTTTTATGCCTAGAGTAGACCAATAGTTCCAGTCTCTCACGTGAATTTCAGATGAAGGAGTGAGATACTCTGGAACTCTGATCCACCACCTATCAAGTCGAATCGAAGTCAAGTCGAATAATTATGATTTGAAAACTAGTAAACTCTAAAATCCTAGAAATTCGTCAACTTCACAAGAACATTAGTAGCAAAATTAGTATATATGCTAAAAATTTAGCCCCAATTTAGTTATAAAGTAAAATTAATAATATGTAAAAGCAAATGGATTATTTATTAAATTGGAGCAAGTACAAAGGTAAAATATACCTGTAATTCTTCCTGGCTTAGTTCCGCGTAATTCTTGCATTCTCTTTCCAATAAAGCCAACCACATGGGCACCCAGACTGAAACCGATGAGATGGAGATCCTTCTCTTGGATTCCAAGTTTGTCCTTAATCCTGTAGTAAAGAACTGCTGCCTCTGCTCCTACCAATTCCGTATTGACCGCTGCTTGTATGTAATAAGGGACTCGAGCACCTAAACTCCAGTCGATGGCAATTACATTCACTTCTTCCTGAAAAATGTGCAAATGACTTTGTTTTCTTTTAACCCGTTAATAGCCAAGATTTCCATATAGTAAATTTGTGAAAAAGTGTTATTGGAAAAAGAGTGGCTGTACTAATATCTGTCTACTTTTCGGGATTTTCGAGAAAATTTTACTTTTTACATTTAATGTGGGTAGCAAAATTAGTATATATTTTATTCTTGCTTAGATGAATGCGATTTAATACGATTTTGATTATCATTACATTTAAATAATTCAAGCATTTAGATATTAACATTGCTGGCTCTCTGTAAATGTGTTCTAGCGTTGGTTGAAGACTAAAGTAAAACTGTTTACAATCTCAATTAATTCACAATTTCCCTACCTCTAGGAAATTTTTTTTTGAAAAACGTAATGCCTTGCAAGTATATAAATTAAGTGGATATTTTCTTATGTTAGCTGCCACTTGGTTTTTTTTTTAAAATCGCATTTCCATAATAACAGATCTTAATCAGAGTTTTTATATTACTAATATGTCGTACAATATATGTCGTATCTTTCTACATTCGTCTAATATGTCGTATCTTTCCACAAAATAAAAAGTACTGATGCATAAATTATTTCAACAGTTTTGATCGTTTAAAAATATCTGTCCTCAAACGAGGACGTCCGGCCCTAACGTGTGAAAAATATCTCCAACAGTAATAAAATGCAGCAGCTTAAGAACTGGGGGAGATGAGCTTTGCTAAAAGTGATGTTATGTTCATTGAAAGAATTTTGCATTGCGTTGAACCATATCATCATTCAAATATGCTGCTATCTTAATAAAGTTCTGAGTTTAAATCGTTTCAGCGTACTGCTGAATGTTCGAAAATTTTATGTAGATCACCGTATCAGATTTTTGAAATCTTGGAAACCACATAAAATGAGTAATATAGTTTGTATTACTGACGTCGAATTAAATAAAGAATAATATTAATTGTTACAGTATTAATTTTAGAGTAGTATCAGAACAAATAAATGCTCTGAACTTCATCAATATTACGTAAAAAATAGAAAGTCTCTTGCTAAAATCTAAATTATTCATGCCTGTCGCCAAATTTACTTAAACTTTACTAAAAGCATTTTCATCAAATGTGAGTAATAAAAATGCATTTAGTAAATTAGATAAAGAACAATGTTAATTATTACAGAATTAATTTTAGAATAACTTCAGAACAAAAAGGAATGCTCTGAACTTTATCAATATTTCGCAAAAAATCGAAAGCCTCTTACTATAATCATGATTCATATCTGTCTCCAAATTTTCTTAAATTTTACTAAAAGCATTTTCATCAAACGTGAGTAATGAAAATGCTTTTAGTAAATTAGATAAAGAACAATATTAATTATCACAGAATTAATTTTAGAATAAGTTCAGAACAAAAAAAAATGCTCTGAATTTCATCAATATTTCGTAAAAAATCGAAAGCTTCTTACTATAATCTAAATGATTCATGCCTGTCTCCAAATTTACTTAAACTTTACTAAAAGCATTTCTATGAAAGTTTAATTCGAAAAATTGCTTTGTTGTAAGGTATACAGCACAAAAGAATTCCTACCAAAATTTAAATGGCAAATTATGTAAAAACTTTCATATAACCTTCATAAGTATACATAAACTTTCTTATAAAAATCTAAATGGTTGACTTTGGTTCGTCAATTATAAGTAAATTGTTTAAAAGCATTTTTGCTGCCTCTAAATAGTGTCACTATTGCGTAAAATATACGAAAGTATTCATTCCATTACTGACGTGAAACAAAGGCGAAATTCAAGTCGTAATTATTATTTAAAATATATAAAAGCATTCTCACCCAAATAAGATTGTCAATATTACACATAATGTTTGAAAGTCTTCCTACCAAAATTTAAAGGGTTAAATTTACAACAAAGCAGCTACGCGCAACGCACGAATATTTCTAAACTCTTTGAAACCTGATGCAACTTGAAAGTGTATATTTTTCTTGTATAAATAGCTCAAAACGAAAGAAGTGCTAAGAAAATTATTTTGCTCTAAACATTTATCTAAGAAATGAAAGATATTCTCTTTGTACTAAAACATGTTATTAAATTTAAAATCTAACTTTATCTTTGAACAGGACAGCTAGTTTTTTTTAATATTAAAAGGAAACTAAGTAAGAGAAGAAAAGTTTTACTCAGTTTCAACTTATTTTAAAAGGAATATATTACTATTGTGCACATATTGGATTATTATCTAACCAGCACAATTATTCAAGCTCGGTCTTAAAGGTTTAACAAAATTCGAATGGTATATTTCCAGAGTCAATAATGTGTAATAAATTCAAAGGAATTTTTACCAAAACTAATTGGGAAATCACTTCATGAGTAATATAAAAAAAGTCTATAAAAAGATTTTTTCGAAATATAAATAGTAAATTTACTTTTTCTCCATCACGTATATTTTATGAAAGCTTTCTTTCCGAAATTTAAATGGTTAACTTGCTTCGCCAATAATACGTAAAATAGACAGACTTATTTTTGCCAAAAGTAAATGCATACATGCCAACTTTTACGCATTTGGCGTAAAATTTTATTTTTATATTTAATGTGGTAGTAAAATGTATGCTTTCTATATATTCCTTGCATTTATAAACTTAATTTATAATCCTTTTGACCACCACTATTTTTAAAAAAAATTAAGCATATATATAATATGCAATCCTATGTAAAATTCAGCATAAGCTTTCTGAAAACACAGCACATGATCAGAGATGTCAACTGCCCAAAACACCCCAAAATAATTTAAAGAATGGTAAATAACTAAACAGTAAATTTTGCAAACACTTGACTATTTTTGCTTGCTTTTTAAAAGGCATGGCATGACTTAGAGAGGATTAACGTATTATAAAGTGGTGAATTATATAAACATACGAATTATTTAGAAATAGTGGTGTATAACAATCTGCTAAATTGAATTTATTAAACCAAGAATCACAATTGATAAACTACCACTTTAAAATATATATCTGCTGTCCGGAGCAAGTTGGCAACTCTGTATATTGCCTAAAATTGTAATATAAAATACCATTTTACTACCACTGGGGAAAATCATCCTCGAAAGGATTAAATGTTGGCAGGTATGTAAATGGTAATATTCCGTAAAATATAGGGAAGCTAGCTTGCCTAAGCGTAATTAGAAAAATTCATTTCGGCATTATAACGCAAAATACACGAAGGCTTTTTTTTTTTTACTGGTAAATTCATTGCGTAAATATTGCGTAAAATTAACGCGTAAAAATTATTACAGGTACCATTTTCGCAAAAATTTACGCATAATTTAAGCCTGGTGCTACTAGGACAGAAACAAAAGCAAAAATAAATATATCCATACAATTAAATAATTTTCAGTCTTAGAAGTTAAAATTAAAAGAATAATAATCTCACCGCTTCCAATAGTGCCGTTTTCATATTCCATACCCATGTTAGGTTGTTTCTCCCTCCAAAACCGTGTGTTATAAACTTGAGGGGGTGAGAAGGGTTTAGATTACTTTTGAGAACAGTGCTCACATCCTTGTAATCTAAAAATTGAGGTACAACCAAATTCTTTCTTGTATACAGTAAGAACTTAGTGTTAACTGTTTCTGGAGGTTCGGGAAGTGTTTTTAAGTGCTTGAAGGTACCGTTCTTGTCGAAACAGCCAAGTTCATCGTAACACACACTTTGTGGTGTCTGAAGTATGCTTGGGTGTGCTTGAGAGATGCCCAATTTATCTGCCAACTTATGTAGTTTCACTTCTTCTACAGCACTTTTAGCATATTCATAAATGTTTGCATCTCCTTCTAGATCCACTTCGTCACCATGGCTAGAGCAGACCAGTAAAAAAGCTGTAAAATTGTGCATTTTATAAATTAAAAGGTGATCTGGTCTTAAAACTAAACTCTTCTTTAACAGCGAATTTAAAAGATAACGAAAACACTGAATTCTAACTGTACGATTCGTCATAATCTAGTAGACATGAGCTAAAAAGACATACATAAATAACTAGAAATATATACTAATAGAAGAGGTTAGGAGCAAGCTGCTTTTAACACGCTCACGCCGGTTTGACCTACCGGTGGGTCACGCTCAGAGCCGGATTATACCTTTCGTAGGCCCTAGGCACAGCCGTTTATGGGCCCTCCCCTCCTTCCCCCACTCCTCCCCTCTTTTCAAAATATATGCTAAAATTTTCTTCGCATGGAAACGTATTACGCCATTTTAGATGTATTAATTTCAGAAATGACTGAAAGGCATAAAGCTTACAGTGATTTGTACGATAATTTCGGTTTTCTTGTTCACAAAAATGTGTCAGAATCGGAGATTAAACTAAAAGCGCAAAATTTGATGAAAATTTACTCATCCGATTTAGAGGAAAACTTTGTAGATGAATTCTTACTATTTTCAAATTTGTATGAACATAAATCTGCTTAAGAAATGTTGAAGGCTCAAATTAAAGATAAACTTGTGAATACTTTTCCTAACGTTCACATTGCATTAAGAATATATTTGTCGATTCTTGGATCAAATGCAGAAGGAGAAAGATCTTTCTCCAGATTAAAATTGATAAAAAATT